GCCCGCCGCTGCAGGAGGTTCCGCAAACGGTCACTGCAGCAGGTTCGGGGGTGCCAGGGATAGTCCTTGGAGCAGAAATTGGACTGTTGGGGTTGTCATTGAAGCAGTGGAAGCAACTGCAGGTGGAAGATTCCTCGCTGACCAGAATGAGGCTGCGTGCCTCTCGTTCAAGGGGATCGGAGGATCGCCCATTTTTGATGTTAACGGAGGGGTTGCTTGTTCGCTGGGATGTGGAAGCACAAAAATTTTGTATTATTGTCCCGACCGTGTTGCGGGGGAAACTGATTAACGAGGTACATGAGAAATTGCTGCATCTGGGGGAGAAGAAGACCGCGTTGACGGTGGGGAGTGAATTTTACTGGCCGGGAATGTTTAACGATGTGAAACAGCATGTAAAAGCGTGCCAGGAATGTGCACGGAGGAAAGCGCTGGCACAGCCATATCGTGTCCCTTTGCAATCGATTCAAGTTTCGAGAGTGAACGAAATTGTGGCGCTGGATATTTAGGGTCCGTTTCCCATCACCCCCCGAGGGCACAAATATTTGCTCGTCGAGGTGGAATACTTAACTCGTTGGCCGATGGCATGGCCGCTAGTAGACCAGTCAGCGACGTCGATCGCTGAGGCTTTCTTGAATGGATACGTACTAGATAAGGGGGCCCCGGAACATTTGCTTACTGACCAAGGAAGAAATTTTTCATCGAAATTAATTAAGGACGTGTGTAACTCGCTGGGGACCAAAAAGATTCGGACGTCCCCGTACCACCCGCAGACTGACGGGATAGTCGAGCGGCTGCATAGGACGCTGACGTCCATGCTTTGTCACCAAGTAAACACCGTTCAAGATGATTGGGATCTGCATGTTGCAGTGACGCTGGCCGCATATAGATTGGCCCCGCATGCCTCAACGGGGTACTCGCCATTTTTTCTGATGTATGGACGGGAACCGGAAGCGCCGGCTATTGTGAAATTGGGAATTCGAAAACGGGAGAAATTTACGACGGTGCCTGCTCCGATGCAGGTGGCTTTGGACCGTCTAAGGGAAGCCCAAGAGGCTGCATTGCAAAATACGGCACGACGACAAGCCGCTAACGAAAGATTGTTCGGCAGGCAGCGGCCGCGAGAGCTGTGGAGTGTTGGAGATAAAGCCTGGTTGCACTGCCCCATGCGGTGGGAACGTCCCTGAAATTTCACCACCCCTGGCAGGGGCCCGTTGATATTGTGGAGGTTTTACGGGATCAGAGTGTGCGAATAAAATTTGGTCGTCGGACATGGTTTGTTCACCCGTCGCGTCTGAAGAAATTTGTGTTACCATATGATGCGTCATTCCCCATCCGAGAGCGGCCTGTATTGGATGTGTCCGACGAACCTGTGGAGAGGTCACAAGTGCACGTGTCCCAGAGATCTGCCCCCCATGTGCCTGCAGGATCGCCCTTTTTGGGCAGGGTTACCGACCGGACGCCGATTGAACGGCCACAGATCCGGACCAATGGCCGTCCCGACCATGAACGACGGACAGCCCCGCCAGCTGAGTGTCGCGGGGACAGGGATGGGCGCAGGGTTCATTGGCAAGACGAGCAAGGGCCTCCCTTACCGAAGAGATTCCCGTGCAGGGGAGATGGACCGGCAGCGGGAACCCGTTCCAGGAGGAAAACAATACATTGACTTTGGGAGTTGGGAATTCTGTATAAAGGTGTTGTGTGCGCGTCGTTGCGTGATTGTACAAAATGGTTGTATATTGCAAGTGCGTTATGTATATATGTTGTCATCGTTCCGTCCTCTTCACTCCACTACTCTAATTCGAGTATATCGTAGCCGGGGACGGCTAGGTTCTTTCATCACGGAGGGGGGGGGGGGTGATGTAGTGGAGTAAACAATACGCATAGAAATTGGCCATATACAGTACATACAGACAGACAAGGAGAACGGGTCACATGAGGTCGAACAGGTGGTCGAGTCGCGGGTGGCGTAAACAAACCCAAGTAATTAAGGGAGTCGTGGCACGAGGGCTGTGATTGGTCGAGAGGCTGTTAGCGTTAAGTGGTGGCGTCGGAATGTTTGATGAGGGGGACAGGTGCGGGCTGGCGGGAAACGGCCAGCGAGCCACGTGGCAATTAATTAAGGCTAATGCGAGAGGGGATAAAACGCGAGGTGGTTTGAACGGAGGAGAGTTGCTGTTGGAGAGTTGCTGTTGGAGAGTTGCTGCTGGGAAGTTGTTGCTGGGCAGTTGTTGGCGAGAGGTGAAGAGATACCGAGAAGACAGCTGGAAATGTTAGAGAAGAATAGATAGAGAGCCGGACCCCAAAGACAGTAAATAGCGATAGGGAGAGTCAGCGTTAGCGGAGATAGATAGAGTCACTGTGTGTGAATGGATGGAAGTCACTGCGTGTAAAGAGATAGCGGCAATACTGTGTGTGAGGAGATAGGCGACGAACCACTGTGTGTGGAAGAGATAGAAGACGAACCACTGTGTGTGGAAGAGATAGAAGACGAACAACTGTGTGTGGAAGAGATAGAAGACGAACCACTGTGTGTGGAATAGATAGAAGACGAACCACTGTTCGTGGAAGGGTAGACACTGTGTGTGAAGAGATAGGCGAAGAAACACTGTGTGTGGAAGGGGATGCACGGACGATGCTGAAGTAAATCGGAGTGTCCGAGTTGGCGGAGCACGGAGAGAATTACTGTGTGTACGGAACGATGGAATAAAAGTGACGGCGGAAAAAGAGACGGTTGTCGTCCGAGTGAATTCACGGCACTACATATATATGGAGATAACTTATTAGGAACCACATCATGACCGTTTTCTGTTTTGTCCACCAGGTGGCAGACAGAGCTCGAGTTTGAGTCTGGGTTGGTACTGACCTGAGACTCTCAAGCAGGGTATCCTGAAAAACACAAACCCGCATTTCACATTAACATTGACATCCTAAACAGATGCCCCACCTCCACACAGTCGCGTGCTGTTTACAGTGGAGCGTGACATCAGGAAATTAACAAATACCTGCACACCGATAATGGTAAAAAACAGGGTTCGTTTAACTAGACACGGACGGACGTCTAAACATACCAAAACCGCTCTTTACAGGCCTAGTCTAGCACCTACACGAGTGGTTTAAAAACGTCAACAGCTCTTGTTGTTGAGCTCTGAATGAACCAAAGAAAACTGTTTTTAATTTACCAGGTAAGACCACCAGTTACTCGTTTGTCGCTCTTTTTCAGAAATGACATGGCCACAAATTGCAGCTCAACGAATTGGCTTATCACGTGGACATTTATAGGAGCAGCCAAATACTTTAAACGCGTGATATTGATTCTATATACAGTGAGGGAAAAAAGCATTTGATCCCCTGCTGATTTTGTACGTTTGCCCACTGACAAAGAAATGATCAGTCTATAATTTTAATGGTAGGTTTTTATTAACGATGAGAGACAGAATAACAACCACAAAATTCAGAAAAACGTATGTCAAAAATGTTATAAAATGATTTGCATTTTAATGAGGGAAATAAGTATTTGACCCCCTCTCAATCAGAAATTTTTCTGGCTCCCAGGTGTCTTTTATAGAGGTAACGAGCAGAGATTAGGAGCACACTCTTAAAGGGAGTGCTCCTAATCTCAGCTTGTTACCTATATAAAAGACACCTGTCCACAGAAGCAATCAATCAATCAGATTCCAAACTCTCCACCATGGCCAAGACCAAAGAGCTCTCCAAGGATATCAGGGACAAGATTGTAGACCTACACAAGACTGGAATGGGCTACAAGACCATTGCCAAGCAGCTTGGTGAGAAGGTGACAACAGTAGTTGCGATTATTCGCAAATGGAAGAAGCACAAAATAACTGTCAATCTCCCTCGCCTTGGGGCTCCATGCAAGATCTCACCTCGTGGAGTTGCAATGATCATGAGAACGGTGAGGAATCAGCCCAAAACTACACGCGAGGATCTTGCCAATGATCTCAAGGCAGCAGGGACTATAGTCACCAAGAAAACAATTGGTAACACACTACGCTGTGAAGGACTGAAATCATGCAGCGCCCGCAAGGTCCCCCTGCTCAAGAAAGCACATATACATGCCCGTCTGACGTTTTCCAATGAACATCTGAATGATTCAGAGGACAACTGGGTGAAAGTGTTGTGGTCATATGAGACCAAAATGGAGCTCTTTGGCATCAACTCAACTCGCCGTATTTGGAGGAGGAGGAATGCTGCCTATGACCCCAAGAACACCATCCCCACCCTCAAACATGGAGGTGGTAACATTATGCTTTGGGGGTGTTTTTCTGCTAATCGGACAGGACAACTTCACCGCATCAAAGTGACGATGGACGGGGCCATGTACTGTCAAATCTTGGGTGAGAACATCCTTCCCTCAGCCAGGGCATTGAAAATGGGTCGTGGATAGGTATTCCATCATGACAATGACCTAAAACACACGGCCAAAGCAACAAAGGAGTAGCTCAAGAAGAAGCATATTAAGGTCCTGGAGTGGCCTAGCCAGTCTCCAGACCTTAATCCCATAGAATATCTGTGGAGGGAGCTGAAGGTTCGAGTTGCCAAACGTCAGCCTCGACACCTTAATGACTTGGAGAAGATCTGCAAAGAGGAGTGGGACAAATCCCTCCTGAGATGTGTGCAATTCTGGTGGCCAACTACAAGAAACATCTGACCTCTGTGATTGCCAACAAGGGTTTTGCCACCAAGTACTGAGTCATGTTTTGCAGAGGGGTCAAATACTTATTTCTCTCATTAAAACGCAAATCAATTTATAACATTTTTGACATGCGTTTTTCTGGATTTTGTTGTTGTTATTCTGTTTCTCACTGTTCAAATAAACCTACCATTAAAATTATAGACTGATCATTTCTTTGTCAGTGGGCAAAGTACAAAATCAGCAGGGGGATCAGATACATTTTTCCCTCATTGTATGGAGCAAAAAAAACTGGAGGACACAGAGAAAAATCTACGTGACCACGGGGGGGGGGGGGGAGAGAGAGAAACGCAAACTCTAAATTTACAGCAGGAATCATCAAGATCGGGGTCGAACCCACGATCTCCTGCATACCAGGCGAAGTAGTTAATATATCCTGGACACCACGGCGAGTGAATGGAGGTGGTGCCACCTGCAGGAAGGAGAGCGGGTCCTGCACGGTGAGTGCGGCGAGCAGCTGGTTGATCTCCTGCTCCAGGCCGCGTGCTCTGCTCTCGTAGCGAGCGATGTCCGCCTGGATGCGGGACAGCACGGAGCGGCCCTCCTCGTCCACGCGCTCCAGCGCCTCCCTCTCCTCCTCTCTCAGCTGCTCCCTCCGGCGGTCAAACTCTCGGCTGATCCGCGCCTTGGTCCCACGCAGAGACTCCTACGCAGAGATACAATGGTGTGCTATTGAAACGCAACACAATACAGTGCGATGTGACTTCATAAAGGACTTCGACATGGCCACGTCTCATTACTCCGTACAAAAAGGCAGGTGACTTAATTTTTGAGAACGTCGAGTAATGAAATGCATGAAAGGAGGAGATTTAGTGAGGGTATTCATGGGCACTCATGCCTAATGCTAAGTACCCGTATAGTTTGCGTGTTTGTACCTGCATGTGTCTGTGTGTCTCTCTCTACCTGCACGTGTCTGTGTGTCTCTCTGTACCTGCACGTGACTGTGTGTTTCTCTGTATCTGCACGGGTCTGTGTGTCTCTCTGTACCTGCATGTGTCTGTGTGTCTCTCTGTATCTGCACGTGTCTGTGTGTCTCTCTGTACCTGCACGTGTTTGAAGGTACCCTTGAGCTGCTGTGTCCGTGATTCTGCCGTAGTCTTCTTCTCCTCTCTCTCCGTCTTCTCGAGTCTCAATGCCTCCTATACACGAGGTAGACAAATTCGCCATGTTTGGTACTCCCATCATTATCATCATCATCATTTAACCCGGAGCCTTGCAGGCAGGTTTTGTGGATCGCCCAGCGATAATCATCACCGTTTGCATCTTCCAACCTCCCAGGTTGTGAGGTGGTCTTCAGGAGGCAGCACAACAGTCGTATCTGAGGTAGGTGGCTGGATTACAGCGCAGTGTATTAAGGAGTCCAAACTCCCACACTTGTGTTTTCTCCAGTTTTTCCCAACAATGGAATCTCACGGAACCGATCACCATGACCCCCCAAAATACCTACAGCACACATTGTGCATGACAGTGCGGGAAACACCAAAACTTAAATCCGAAATATTACAGGAAACCAAGCTGAGTGCCAGAGCGGTATTAGGGTACAGACAGCTCTGGTGCTAATATTGCTGCTGCTCGGGTATGTTTGGGACAAGTGAACTCCGGGGAAGGCGAGACATGTGACCAGATTCGCAGCATGCTAACAACTACACCACTACTCCCCAAATCAGGAACAACCGCACACTCATATCACAGTTTAAACATTTCTAGAAATGCAGCGTATGTGATAATAGTAATTTTAAGAATATTGCTCCAAGTAAATCTGTGCAGATTAAGTTTAACAAGTAGGCTTTGGCGACCAATACTATTCATAAAGTGTTAGGTCGTGTAACTATAAATGTGTCGTTAAACCCGCCATCACACGACTCAGTCAATTAGTAAGGTTCGTTACGAAAACACAACGTGCCAATTAGTGACTAGTTCAGCACATCGGTGTGTTGGAAAGTAAACCCACAACATTTACAATTCGAGTACCATGACGTTTTGCTTCATTACTAATTACAACCAGCATCATCACGCGACAGCCAGAATTGAATATGCAGAATAACATTGTCAGTAGCAGCAAACAAAATAATGTCAATATTAACACTATCATATTAACACTTTAATGATATAAAGAATATTACCAGCAGCAAAAACGACAACAGAAACAACAAACACATTCATAGTCATGATGGTGATGATTGACTTGAATATCCTTTATTGTGATGTTTGACTTAAGCTGTCCCCATTTGATTGCCTCTGGCAGGGCCAGACACTGGCAGGATTAAGCGCTGTGAACGTGGAACTCTGCCCACGCCAAGTTCGCCCAGTCTGCTGCCTGTGTGCATTTAGTCCCGCACTCTGTTGCCCCATTTCACCTGCTAATAAAAGCGTGACAGGCTAAATGTTCTGGTGGTTGGCCAAGCTTCACCGTGGTAGCGCTCAACCACAATCCACTGTTTTGTTGTGGAATGCCAATACACGGCGTCTATGTTAGATGCAGGGTGGAATTTTAGGTACCAAACATTGCAACAAAATCAAATCTAAATCTGGCCTATGGACAATCAAACCGTGCCTGGCGGCCTGTCTCTACCACTGGGATGGCTTCTGATTTGCCTCTTTTAAGTTCACGGTCAGTGCACTTTTGAACCTTCTCACGTTTGAAGAATCTCGCGTCAGTCTACATTTCTATCCACTCATCATTGCTACTCACAAGTACGAATCTTATAATGCCAAGTATATTTTACAACTTTGCCAGCCATATCACAAACAGCTTTATCTTGTAACTAAACCATGGAACACCCTGCTTTGCTATCAATTCAAATCAACATTGCCATCGTACGTGTCTCTGCTGTTTAACGTGTGCCAGTTTGACAATCCGTCAGTTTAACATGTAGGCTTTCGCGACCAATATTATTCATAATAAAGGTTTTTTAGGGTTAGATCGCGTTTATTTATAAATGTGTCGTAACCCTCCACCACCCGACACGGCCAATCAGCAAAAAAAAGTGTCACGTTGACAAAAAGACAAATAATTCACTACTTTAGCCTACCGGTGTGTTGAAGAGTGAATCCACATTTACAGTTTGAGTACGACGTTTCGCTGGTAAATACATCCAGCATCATCGGGCAATTCGCCAGAATGGTAAAGCCCTCGCTTGCTCTATATAAAACCGGGAGCAAGCGAGGGCTTTACCATTCTGGCGAATTGCCCGATGATGCTGGATGTATTTACCAGCGAAAAAACTGTAAATGTGGATTCACTCTTCAACACACTGGTGGGCTAAAGTAGTGAATTATTTGTCTTTTTGTCAACGTGACACTTTTTTTTTGCTGATTGGCCGTGTCGGGTGGTGGAGGGTTACGACACATTTATAAATTGACAATCCGTGTTGCCCAAAGTGATTTGATTGACCGTCACAATGCTGACACGATAGGAGTTACCTAATAATATGCAAATCTAAGTGATAAAATACAAACTCTCTATCTAAACAAGACACGCAGAATGCTGCAGTCACACTGAGGAATTTTGGATTATAGCATTGATTTATATCTCACCTGTTTTGTCCGTTGTGCATTTTCCAATGGAATGACCTCATGCTCTCTATGTTCCCCAGCGATGGTACAGACTGTGCAGACCAGGCTGTCATCCTGTTCACAGTACAGAATGAGCTCCTGTCTGTGCTGCTGGCAGCGTCGCTCCTCCAGGTTCGCGATGGGAGCCACCAGGAGGTGTTCTCTTAACCTGGGATTCTCCAAGTGAGGCCTTGCGTGCGTTGCACAGTAAGACATCTCACATCTCAGGCAGGTCTTCACTGCAGGAATCTGGCCACCACTGCAGATGTCACACACAATGGCCTCGGCCATCCCGACTCCAACTCTGAGCTGCTCCGCCAGGTTGGCGAGGACCACGTTCCTCCTCAGCTGGGGTCGCACAGGGAAGGTCACTTGGCACTGCGGGCAGCTGAAGCTGCTCGCCGTCTCCCAGGCGGCCTCCAGGCACCGGAGGCAGAACGAGTGTCCACAGCTCAGTGTGGAGGGGCAGACGAACGTGTCCAGGCATATGGAGCAGCACAGCTCACTATCCACACTCTTACTGGGAGTCGCGCTCGCCATGACCCATGGCTTCACTGGGATCGCTCACTTTGTGGCTCAGAGAGAAGCTGGACCAGGACCTCTCTCTTATAACAACGGTGGAGAAGGAAGTAAACTGCTAAATATATATTTTAATTGTCATTGACATCTGGAGACACTCCCTAGAATCTGAACTCGTGCCCCTAGGTGCGCAAACAGCAGCCTCTAGGTGACCATGGCTACTGTACGCACGTCCCAAGATCATACAGTTTTCTTGTCAATATAAATCAGAGGAACTCAGCTGCGATAGCTTTATTGTGAGATTAGTAAAGAGAGATAAACTCATTGTTCCACAGCTTAGGGAGTGGTGTCTGTAACGTTAGCGCTGAACTAAAAAACCATCAGAGACCCGAGTTCGATTCTCACTCACGTCCATCAACACCACAATTGGTAACGATTATCTGAATCTGTCCTTGGCCTCATCCCTTAGGGTCAACTGAGCCTCAAATTTGTACTTTGTGCGGTGTGTCGTAAACATCGCCACCCTCGAACACATAGGCGGCCGGGCATGGTGCTGGCCACCAAACCCACTCAGCTGCGATAGCTTTATTGTGAGATTAGTAAAGAGAGATAAACTCATTGTTCCACAGCTTAGGGAGTGGTGTCTGTAACGTTAGCGCTGAACTACAAAACCATCAGAGACCCGAGTTCGATTCTCACTCACGTCCATCAACACCACAATTGGTAACGATTATCTGAATCTGTCCTTGGCCTCATCCCTTAGGGTCAACTGAGCCTCAAATTTGTACTTTGTGCGGTGTGTCGTAAACATCGCCACCCTCGAACACATAGGCGGCCGGGCATGGTGCTGGCCACCAAACCCATCGTGAGCCATTCCAGCCTTCATAGGTGCTTGATGAGGCTATTTCGATGATCTTCTTTGGTTCTTTCGGTAAAGTCACGTAGAATGAAAATAAAATAATAAATTGATAAAATAAAATAACACAATAAAATTATCACGACGTTTCGGCCACAACACAAGCGGCCTTCATCAGGTGAAGGGACGAGACTGTCTGGAGGACAGCGCTGGAGCGAACAAAGCCACGCTCAGATCGCGACCTTTAAGCTGTGTGAGAAGAGTAACTGGGTATACACTACACTATATAATGAATACTATATAGTAAACCAATAAAAAATATGTATAAATTACCTCAATGTTATCAATAAACTCTAAATATTCTCCAATCAGCTAAGCTACCAACAATAAGTCGTTATATTTCACAATGCTATATGGCGAAAAAAATGGGTGGATTCTTACCCTCAACTTTAGCACCACGGATAGCTACGAGCCCCGTTCACACGGACGAGTTCATCCGTGGTCGGAAAGGAGGAGGGGGAGAGAGACAGCTGCGAGGCGCTGTTATACTCCATGTTGTAAACCATACCATTAATAGTGGTGTGAGAGGTATTAAGAGTCAATGCCGGCGAAAGAGCTGCGGTCTGAAGGTCATCGTAAAATTCAATTAATTAAGAACGGAAATGGTTTAAAACATCTTTCCAATGGTTACTAAGCCAGAATCCATCTTCTCGGTTGAAATTGTCTCTGTGCTTGTATATGTGAATGGCCTCATGAACGAATCTCTCATGGTAAACGGTTGGTTTCCAAAGAACCTCCGTCTTGGAGAAGTCAATGTCATGTGAGCCCACAGAATTATAACAGTGATCTGCCATGGCAGAGGAGTTCATTATACCGTGTTTCAAGTCGTTCATGAGGCCATTCACATAAACAAGCACAGAGACAATTTCAACCGAGAAGATTGATTCTGGCTTAGTAACCATTGGAATAATGTTTTAAACCATTTCCGTTCTTAATTAATTGTATTTTACGATGACCTTCAGACCGCAGCTCTTTCGCTGGCATTGACTCTTAATACCTCTCACACCACGGTTAATGGTATGGTTTACAACATGGAGTATAACAGCGCCTCGCAGCTGTCTCTCTCCCCCTCCTCCGTTCCGACCATGGATGAACTCGTCCGTCTGAACGGGGCTCATAACTATCCGTGGTGCTAAAGTTGAGGGTAAGAATCCACCCATTTTTTCGCCATATAGCATTGTGATATATAACGACTTATTGTTGGTAGCTTAGCTGATTGGAGAATATATAGAGTTTATTGATAACATTGAGGTAATTTATACATATTTTTTTTATTGGTTTACTATATAGTATTCATTATATAGTGTAGTGTATACCCAGTTACTCTTCTCACACAGCTTAAAGGTCGCGATTTGAGCGTGGCTTTGTTCGCTCCAGCGCTGTCCTCCAGACAGTCTCGTCCCTTCACCTGATGAAGGCCGCTTGTGTTGTGGCCGAAACGTCGTGATAATTTTTTTGTGTTATTTTATTTCATCAATTTATTATTTTATTCCCATTCTACGTGACTTTACCGAAAGAACCAAAGAAGATGAATCCTTGCAGTCACGAAAGCTTTAAATCGAAATTTATTTCGATGATCTTTGTCTTTGTAGTGATGTACATGCATTTGTGTGTCTTTAGCATGTTTGTGAGTCTATCTGTAGTACTGTTAATTGCTTCTGTTGGTGTATAATATGTGATTGTGCCTGTGAGCAGTGCTGTAGAGTATATACTTCTGTGTTTCTCCAGTGTGTGTCTGTGTGTAGTACTCTACATAATATACTTGTTTCTCCAGTCAGTGTGTCTCTCTTGTGTGTAGTACTGTACATGCTTCTTTGTGTCTCCAGGCGATATCGCTGTGTGTAGTACTTCGCATGGTTCTCTTTATCTCTAATATTGTGCCTCCCATGAAATACATCTCGAGGTAGCTAAACAAACAGGTAGTTGAGATATTTGCCAAGTAAGGAAGTAATTTTGTTAAGGTATATGATGTTCAACACAATAGTGTATAAAGTGTACAACAACAAAGTCAATTAACAAACAGACAGCAACTATTTGAGACGACTGTTTTTTTTGGCCACATCATTTGAGTTATTCATACGTAATCTGAAAATAACGTCTTCAATTTATTATTCGTACATGTACTATTGATATGGAGAGGTAAGTTGTTCCAGAAGTTTGTACCCCTGCAAGTTGTTAACGGTAGATAAAGGATGCCGTGGACGTTATCTTGAGTTGCACTCTGAACCTGAACTGCACTGCACTAAACACGTGGCCTGGATGTATTTGGTCAGTTTATTAACTGGTATAAGTGTGGCCACGGTGAGTGAAATCGAAATAAAACCTACCTCAATAAGTTCACCAATGCGAGCCAAGCTGATCTCATAAAGCCCAGGCCTCATCCAACTTCTCCACTACCCCGCAAGATTGCACGTTTGCAAAACAATCATTGATACGTGGCCTATGATATCATCGAACATTTAATAAAATAAAGTTTTCCAATCTTGATTTGAAGCTTTCGTGACTGTAGGAATCCATACTTTTTGGCTCTTTCGGTAAAGTCACGTAGGTATAAAATAAAATAAAACACGGCGTTTCGGGCGCATCACAAGCGTCGGTCATCAGGTTGGAATGCATGGTCTGCTGCTGAGGCAAACAGTTTTAAAGGTTTGAAATGGGTGTACCCCAAGGGTAATAAAAAAGTGGCTTGGGCTAGTGACGTTAATGTGACAAATTTGCATGTAACTCTAAGATAGGAGAGCAGCCTCCTCGACCAGGGCACGGAAGTGGCTATGTTAATGTGAAAGATTAGCATGTTAATGTATAATCGAAGAGTGGTGCAATCCAAAGCGGCCTCCTAGACGAGGGCACGGAAGTGGCTATGTTAATGTGAGAGATTAGCAGGTTAATGAAAAATCGAAGAGTGGTGCAATCCAAAGGCGTGAGTACAACCCAACGGGTGCAATCCAAAGGGCCACGTAGTTTTACCCGGCCTGCTCACCATCATGAACGTCCTTAATCATCGTGAGTAGAGGGTCAGGGACTCCGAAAGAACGAAGAACAACCCAGAGCCCAGGCCTACTGATGGTATAATAGGCCTTGACCAGGTCAATAAAGCAGACATGTAGATCTTGTTGGAATTCCCTACACCTCTACTGTAGCAAACGGACAGAAACTATGGCATCTGTGCAGGACCGCCCTTTCCTGAAACCACATTGGGGCTCCGCAAGCCTCTCCTCAGCGTGCCTGGCACGGTGATGTTGAACAATTCTTGCCAGGACCTTTCCCGGAACGTTGAGGAGTGAGATGCCCTTGTAGTTGTTACAGTCTGTGCGGTCCCCCTTCGTAAAAAGGGGGACCACAAGGGCATCCTTCAAATACTGTGGAACCCTTCCAGTGGTCCAGATTGTTGTTATGATGTCATATAGGGCAGTTTGTGCACAAATGCCACCCTCTCTCAGCATTTTGCTCGGGAGATGATTTCTACCCGATGCGTTTCCTGGTCTCAGAGACTGGATCACCTTTCGTACTTCCTCAACAGATGGCACCTCAGCCAGCCACTCACAATATTTGAGGCACAGCAGCCTCAGCAGGGTCATCCCCACTTTGTCCCATGATGTTTTCCATGTCGACGGATTTCCCCTACCCCAGAACTTCACAGAAATGCTCAGCAAATCTGCAAACCTGTTCCTGGGGGTCAGAGATTGGATCACCATTTTTTCCCCTAATGATGGTAATAGCAGTGGTGCATGGAGGTTACTTTTTTAATGGATTTAAATAGGGATTTGTGATCACTGGCCATTGAGGTGGACTCCATCTCCCCTCCAATCCGTGACCACCACCCATCCTTGGCTCATGGCTCTCCGAACCTCCGAGCGAAAACTGCGGTAAGCCTCTTCATTCTCAGACGTGGGATGCTGTAGACGATTAGAGTGGGCCTGTCGCTTTTTCCCAGCCATCCAGAACACCTTCCCTGTCAGCCAGGGTCTCTGGGGAGGTCTGTACCACGTACCCAAGCAGCCATTGCAGCTTCCTGAGTCACAGTCCTAAATCTCACCCATTTACTCTCGACATCTGGAGGAGTGGGGGACGATACCTACCTCAGCTGCAAGCGATGATGTCATTCTTGCTTGCAACTTTCATCAGCTAGCTGAGATCAGGCCACCTTACATTTGAATGGGGTCCTGTGTGTACACCCACCACCGGAGTGGAAGAATGGCAGGCGCATCTTACAGATGACAAATCTATGGTCAGAGGGCAGATCAGCTCCACGGTAGGTCCCGGTATCAAGGACATGGGCCCGCATCCGCTGTTCCATCATTATGTAGTACAGCAGATGTTCTTGTTTGGACGTGGTATGCATCCATGATGCTGTGTGGATGCGCGGATGCCGGAACAGCGTGTTGGTAATTACAAGCCCATGGGCTGCATACAAATCTAGCAGCCTCCTACCGTTGTTATTGAGCTGATCTGGCCCATGCCTTCCAATCACCCCAGACCAAGTGCCAGCATCATGACCAACTCGGGCATTGAAGTCACCAAACAAGATGAGTCTATTCCGAGGGGCCACTTTAGCTAGCACCTGTGACAGGAGGTCACAGAAGACATCTAACTCATCATCCTTGCCTGCATCCCTCCGCGGATGTTCGTCTTTGGTGGGGGCATAAGTAACCACAAGGTCAGCCATAAAGTAGCATGGAACTT